TAATAACCCACTTGGGTCGCAGCAATTTCAGGGTACACCACCGAAAAAAAAAAAAAAATTTGTGACCTTATTACGACTAATATATAACTAATATACAACTTATTACGACTAATAAACTACTCTTATTTTAGTTGTATATTAGTTATATATTAGTCGTAATAAGGTCGCAAATTTTTTTTTTTTTTCGGTGGTGTACCCTGAAATTGCTGCGACCCAAGTGGGTTATTAGGGTTAAACCCCCTCGGACCGGCCGGGTGGGGAATTAATACAACTAATAGTATAAAAAAAAATAACCAATGAAACCATCGTATACATAGGTCGACAACAAAATAATTACAGGTATCTTTGTGCAAAATATCGATTTCTGATCTTCGATGAACAAGTATCTGATTTTTGAATAATTCGAAAATGAGTTAAAACTGTCCATTTCAATTTTTATTGCGAAGGTAACAAGAAAAATAAAAAAAATCGAATAAAAATAAAAAAAAAATAATGAAGAGGGGGAAACTAGGTTAGAGAAAAAAAAAAGAAAAGAAAAGAAAAGAAAGGCTGGGATCGCTTGGGATAACAATCGGATGACGCTAAAAATTGGGTAATCGTGGAAAAGTGAAAGCTCGAGAGATTATTGCCTCCAAAAGAATCTTCTAGTGATTAACGGCGGTAAATACTGCAATTGATGGATCCGCCATCGGAAGGTTCTGTCTGTTTTCTTTTTCGTTTGATTTAGCTGTTCTCCTTTTCTCCAGGCATGGTGAAACGATTTTTTTTTTTTAATGTGTTTCTGTTTTTCTCCAGAGACCCATTTTGTCCGATGCGTTTGTGTATCAAAAGCTGCACGATTAGTGTTTGATAAAATGCCTGAACCATGATTTTTTTTTTCTGACGAGGAACAATTAGAGTACTTTGTTCCTGATAATTGTTTGTGTTTACAGATGTGAAGGCCAATCTTGCTGAAGAGCTTTATGGAGAAAGCTTGCGGCTTTCGAAACCTGGTTTAGACTCAGCTTCACATGGTATTGCAATGGGTTTTGTTTTTTGGGGGTGAAGTTTCTTATTGGTTTTTTCTTCTTATTGCTTTGGATGATACTCATAGCTAATGAAGTTTTGAACTTTTGATCCTATTGGGCTGAAAGATTTCACAATTATGTTCATATGTTGTGTTAAGAGTTCAATGTCTCTTGGGTAAAGAACTCTGTGGCTCCTCAAATTTCTTGCTTTTATTTCTCTGATGATGTAATTTCATGGTTATGAATCTTTGTTGCCATGTTGCCGGATGCTTATCTTGGGCTTCCTGTATTATAAGTTCATGGTTATGAGTCTGTGCCATATCAATGTTTTCGGGTTTTGGACAGGACACACTTCGTTTTTTGTTGTTGTTGTTGTTGAGATTTGGTTCCTGCAGAAACTGAATTGTCCTTTTGATTTAGGTGGTGATGATTACAACTTTGAAGACAACGATGGGTCAGTATGGGGTTCAGATGAGGAATCGAATAGAGAATCCTTGGACAGGGAATGGCAGAGGAGGCGTGACGAATTCCATGCGGTACCATTTTACTTCGTGTTGTGTTTGGTTTTTTGCCTCTCTAAACATCTTTTTGATTGTGATTAAACTTTTGGCTATTGCATTTTGGCAAACGATGTCATAGATTGGATACCGTGATGGGATTATTGCTGGGAAAGAAGCTGCTGCGCAGGAGGGATTTAACATCGGCTTTAAGGAATCTGTTCTTGCTGGCTACAAGTTCGGGCTTGTTAGAGGTATTTCTAGGTAATGCTCTAATAACCCCTCGAGATATGTTTCCATGCCAAGAGCAGTGTGAAAAAATGAAACATTTTCCCCCTTTTTGGTTAATCTATGCATTCTTTCAAACGCTTTGAAGTGCGCTGGCGTTCCTTCCAGATGACCTGAGAGGAAAATTGACAGGCGAAGAACAAGAAACGGAATCAAAATTCCGGAAATTGCACGAGTCGGTGCACGTCCTTTCGACGGAACATGCTGCTAAGTTGTTTTATGGAACTTTAGCCTCAAAGCAAGCCAAAGAGAAAGATGAAGAAGAAGAAGAAGAAGAAGGATCTGTCTCTGCCATCACTGATCCCTTGCAAGGTTATGCAGTTGAGTTGAGTTCTCTTCTCGCCAAATCTCCTAAGATTGAACTTAGATTGGCCCCAGAGAGACAACTCATTCCATGAGTTTCTTCCTTTGGATATGATGTTAAAACACAAGAAACATGTGTTTAGGAGACATGCTGAATCGTAAGTCTTAATATGGATATGAATACAAGTATCATCTCTCTATGTTCGTGTGCCAAGAGTCCTCCAACATACCCTTTTTAGCTCTCTGTCTTGGTTGTAGCCCTGATATCATCATATCCGCGGATTTGCACGTACCGGTCTCGGGTACTCGATACTTAATGGAAACAAAAACGAATATTACATTGTGGAAAACCCGTATGATGGATTCGGATTCGGGTTTCAAAAATTTAGACAACAGGTATCCATAGATATATAATATACATATAAAAAAAACAAAGTTACCCTTATATTTCTAAACTATTTACTAAAATACCTTAGATTTTATAATGTTTCTATCACATCCTAATCCTTTTAATTTCAAAATCATTTTATATATTTGAAAAACTTTCTAGAAATTTATGTATATTTAATATTTTAAAAAAAATTAATTTTAAGTATATTTTTTAAACTAAATATATATGATTTTGTAGGATATTTTTTAATTTTAAATTGATAAATATTGTATATTGTACACACGGTTATGGATATTCATGGATATCCATTATTTATTATTTAGTGGTGAATAGTTACGGATATCCGGATATTGTGAGACACAGACGTAGATAGAAATAACATTTTTATAAAATCCACAAAGACGAAGATGAAGACGAATATTTCCACAAGCGGATAACCGACGCGTGTCCATCCAATATGCATCGAATCTTCTTTTAATTTAATTTATCTTTATCTCTTAATTTTTAAGATAAACTCAAATTAATTTCATCCTTATCTTGTTCCATGGCCAATGATTCTTCCAATATACCACATATATCACGAAATTTCATCTTTACGGTATATTTTCAAGGAAACTATTATTATTATTATTATTATTATTATTATTATTATTATGTGTTTAGGAGATGAGATAATATTTACTTTTAAGGAAGTTATAAAGTTTTTTCTTCTGGTTTCTTAAAAAAAATCCAAAAGAATATAAACTCAATATATCTAGATAAAAAAAAACATCTAGCATACACTTGATATTCAAATAACTTTGGGTATTATGATAATATATATTCTTTAAAAAAAAAAGATTTCCTCTCTTATTCTGCATATAATATAACTCCGAAAAATATCCGGTACAATATCAAATCATAAAACTGCGACGGAACTCAGCCTGTCGGTCCAAACATTGAAAAAAGACAAAATGTTGATGCATCCAATTTTATTCGAGAGGATTTAACCATTCTCTGATCTTCCATGGCACTCGGAGCTTTGAAATCTCACATAAATCGCAGATTCCACAAGCGTTGCTGCTCATCCATCAACTCGATGAGTCTAGCCATACCCACTGCCCAAGAGAAAAAGCATAAGTAATGTATCATATTCACGAGCATAAATATTATACTTTTTTAAAAATCACATGAATTCTTCTTAACTCGTATATTAAACACTGAACTTCTGAAAAATAATAAAATCGAATCACGAAGTTTCAAAAAATTACCGAAAAAACACAATAAAACTAAGCTCTAAACTTTTACACAACTCCCAAAAATTCAAGTTTTAATATGAAAATTAAAAGAGCTTGTATATTTTTGGACAAATTTAAAATTTGTATATTTATTTTAAATAAATTCATAAGTTCTCGGGTGAATATACTGTTTTCTTATTTTTAACATGAGTAATTAAAACATATTTTTAAATAAATTAAACAATATTTATTGTAAATATAATCTGGACATAGATCGTATATATGTACCATGATCGCCTGGCTGATAAGCCCGAGCCTCCTCGATCATGGCCGTCAGGATTCTGCTTTCTTCATCAGCCGTTTGGCACATGCGTTCACATTCCCTCAATTGAACTTTAAGAGAAGATATTTGCGCCTTGAAATAAAAATGAACAAGTGAGTTATTTGATAATTTTTTGTAACTCCTTTTTATTGAAAGGATTTTATTAAACGCTCACCTCGAGAATTTCAATATCCTTCTCCAATTCCTCCAAACACGAAAGTTCTTCATAGTAAGCGTCTTCTACATCTCCAAAATATTCACTGTTACCATGAACAACAAAAATTATTTACACATCTAAAAAATTACTTAATGCATCTAAAAATATAAATTGGTAATTGTAAATTATAAATTGGTAAAGTATTCTTCCACCCGAGTTCGAACCTGAGGTTAATCTTTACCCCAAAAAATTGTTGTCTATGATAAAACATATTTTTAACTAAGATGTAATATGTATGTAACATCATTTTTATGGGCAATTATAATAAATAAATAAAAAATCTTTGTATGGGCAATGTCAATAACCTTGTTGGTTCCTTCAGCTCTTCGTCATACTGGCCAAGATCAACAAAATCGCCCATATCTTCGTTTGTAATATCATTCATATCTAAAGTATTTGCCTCAGAAGAATCAGAATCTCCGATCTCAGTGAAATTATTGATATCATAAAGAAAATTTTCAGGATCAATGCCGATGTAAAGTATAGTATCACTTATCGATCTTTTGTGAAAGGAAGGGATTTTTCTTTCACTGAGATCCATTTTCTCAAACTCGGTCTCCAAAGATTGTTTTGAAATCTTCGAATTCATGTCGACTTCTGCCTTCGGACCGTCGATTATAGCCAGCGTCACCATATATCTGTCCCACAGAAAAACAGAAAATTTGTTAAACGGCCTCTAAAATGAAAATTTGAATTCGAAAATCTTTCAAAAATTTAGATCTAGCGAGAATTAAAGAAACTCTTCGTAATCATCGAAAATTATTTTTCGTACAACGAAACCAAGTTACCTCGGCGGCGTTGAATGGTATTTCTCCTTTTCTTTTAACACCTTTTTATACCATAGCCTGAGACTTGAAATAGTATATTCATCAAGAAATAACCTACAAATGGAAAATCTTAAGAAAAAACCGTTTTATGGGAATATAATAATTATATTAGCCTTTTAATTTATTTTTTTGCAAGAGATAAGACCAAAAGAAAGGTTTATTAGGACAATACACTTGCAGATTCTTTAAAAGAATATGTTTTTTAAAACTTAAACATGTTGTAATAAATGATAGCCAGGTTTAAGAAATAATAAAACTTTTTAGGGAATGGCTGTTTATATCACCATACCAAATCCGTGATACCGACAACTGGAAGCTTTGTGTTGTAGAGGATCAAGGTTACACTATCGATTATTGGTAGTTGTTGCGAGATAAAATGATTGGTTGATAGATTGTTAGTTGGCGAAAATTATAAAAATGACAGCATATTGATTATTAATGAAACTTCAAAAATCTTTTAATTATTTTTATTATATATGTTTGTATGAAGAATATATATCAAATAATTTACGAAAGCTATTAATAAAAAAATGTTCAAAATACCTTTTTCATCAATTTTACCTATTTATAAATTTTAAAAGTAATAACATGATTTTATTTTCATGAATTATTCAAAAAATTTGGATAATATTTGTATAAACCTTAATTAATAAAAAGATTTACAATCACTTGAACAAATTTATTATTGTGAAGGTATTAAAAATAAATTTAAGTTTTGAGAAAACAAAGACATAATCAATTTGTTATAGAAATCATTCAATACCCTACTTAGATATTTTTGTTTATAACCTACAAGTTTGTCGGGCCTGCGGCCCAATTACATTTTACCAAACCCGAAAGATTGGTCGGGTAATTAACACTTAAGATGTCATTTTTCCCTTTTGGACATTGCTAGTGATATTTAGTAAAATCTTGAAAAACAATTAAGAAAATTTACTTCATCCATCACCAACCATATAATATATAACTAGGGGTATAAAACGAGTCGCGACTCGCGAGTTAGTTCACGAATCAATCCATAATTTTCTCAGTCGGACTCAAAATATTTGAGCTCAGAAAAAATCGGGCCAAATGAGCTAGTCCTCACGAACCGACTGGCTCGCGGGCCAGAAAAAATATTTTTAAAATTTTAATATTTTTTATATATTTTAAAGTATTTTTATATACTAATTATATTTTTATTACATATTTAGTTTTTTTGTTTAAAATTTTATTTTTTTATTATATTTAAATATTTTAAATATTTTTAAAATATTAAAACTATTATTAAATATTTTTTAGTATTAAAATTTTATTTTCAAAATTTATATATTTGGTTCGTATGCCGACTCGTTTGGCTCACAGACTAAGACGATATGAGTTGGACTGATATATTTTTTGCTCGCTAAAAAACGGGTTGGGTTGGATTGGATTAAAAAAATTTCCAGATCGAAACGAGCCAGGGTGGACTGGACTGGGCCAACCTGTTTTACACCCCTAAGTCCTAAGTGTAACAAAGCTCTTTGGATTTGAATTCTTATTTCACACGGAACTGAATTCATTAGGAAAGGGATTTAAGAATGTTAACAAATATTCGTAGATGTTATGTGGAAGAGATATATCAAAGAAGGAACGATGTCAAGTTTTGATGAGGCTTAATGACTCGTATATATGTCATTTTGATGTTAGGACCACTTTCATATTTATCATCAAGAGCGTATAATCTTTGATATTCACACAAATGTTATAAATGGCTACCCGCAACGAAATAGATCTTCTTCTAATTAATTTATCCGAACGATTGACAATCTCTACACCATATGTCTCCACGCACCTTTTTCCTAGGGATGTTAACGGTGGTCCGGTCCAAATCTGCACTCGGCCCAATGATTTTGGATTCGGGTTCTGGCGACCCGAAAGTATGGTCCTATAGAATTCAGGTTCGAGTTCGGGCCGATTTGAGCCCATATGAAAATCTTAATTTTTTTTGGGTTTACAAATTTAGACCCAAAACCCAATATTTTTGGGTGACACGGAGTGGACTTCGGGCCAAAACTGACCCCCCCTTTTTTTTTTTTTTTTCTCATGTTTTTCTCTTAGCTATCAAAATCTTACTTGACCTATTTTGGTTTGGAGCAAGTCATGTCAATAGTGATCTATCGTTATAGAATTTCTTTAGTACATAACATTCATACTATCATCATTACTGTCTAATGACACAACCAGTTATGTCAACCAACCAATATAGTTCCAATCAATAATTTCCTTGTATTCCATTTTATTTTATGTGTCTATCTTTTTGCTACAATCTGCTCATTGCCGGTGGTTAACTACCTCTACTCGTAATAAAGCTTAAAGCTTTGGTACAAGCTCCAGAATCCAGGAATGTAGGTTGGACCATAGCTCGAGGTGACTCTTTGGGTGATTACTGAAGTGAATTTGGGTCTATTTGCCTAAACATACCGATTTCCGTTCTCCTGAACAAAATTCAGACAGTAGAAGAAGGCAAACACAGACAACCTTTAAATGTCGTTCGAGTCATGCTTTTACAGTCGAACATCTCACTTTCTTGTTAGGGCAAATGTGTTCTTTCAGTTGTCTATTTGATCAATGGAACTCCAACAAGAGTGAGTTCTTGAAGAATAAAATCCCTTGTGAAACTCCAACAAGAGTAATCTGGTTTAGGTTTTGTCAGTCTTTGTTATGCATCCTCTTTCGCTACATGGAAGTTGATCTGTGTGGTGGTATCGTCCCCCTCGCCGCTGCTCTCCGACTCGTGATTTCGTGCAGAAATTAGAGGAACACCGGAGTTCAAATCTATGTCTTGGCCGACACGGTACTCGAGAAGATACACTGGTGAAGAACGTACACACACACACCCGACGTACGCCACAGAAACCCCGACGACTCACCGGAAAGTTGGAAACCCAAAACGCGAAAGAAAAAAAACCTCTGAGCCGGAAATCGCCCGAAACCCTAGCCCCCCTCTTCCTCTCCTGCGTAATGGCAGTCGGTTTCATTTCCAAAGCAAAACGGCATCGTTTCCTCTGCCTTAGAAAACGTCGTCGTATGAGCTCCGGTTCCTTCAAAAGATAAACTTAACGAGCGAACCTGAATCCTCCAAACGAATTAGAGACTCCCTAACCTTCCGCCTCAGACGGAAGCTTCCTCTCTGCTGAATTTTCACAACCGATAGTTTTGCATTGTGATTCTCAATCAGTACTCTACATTGCCGAAAATCAATTTTATGATGCATGTAAGAAGCATATTGAATTAGATTATCATCTGCTTCATGAGAAACTGAAACTTAGTTTTCTGAATTAACTCAAAGATATCCTTAAGTTTTCAGCATTAGAGCAATCTTGACATCTCATCATCAAGAATATGGATACAAAACAATATTTTAAGATTTTATTTTTGGTTTACCTTCATTGATTTATTCTTGTTAGATGTTGTTGGGTTCGCCTTTCTCGGCTCTTTTTGCTGCTTGAAACATTTTTTTAAGGTTCATTTTTTAATATAAGAGGGAAAATTTGGCCCAAATTCAAATTGTTCTAGGTTTGCCATTTCGAACCAAAAACACCCTTTGGAGATCAAAGCCCATCTACACCATGCATTGTCGAAATGGTTATCCAACCTATTTTGAGCCCAGTAATTTGTGTTATAAATGTGTAACCAAAATATGTTGAAAATTATATGGGTCGGGTTATCCCAAGTTGGAATCTTTTTCCATATACATTTTAATTCTAAAATAAAATATATTCAAAAAAGAAAAAAACAACAGGAATAGGAATAATATCCTAAAAATTATAATGGGGCAACTATTTTGACCTTTTAATGGGATACTCGTTGAGCCTTATCCTTTTGATATGTTAGAAAATGTGTACAAACAATGAAGTCAATTATGTGAATGATTACTTTCCCTCCACGTTCCTTCGAATAATGAATTCTAAATTTTAGCTAGAATTTTTAATCGAATTTTTTAAAATCATAAAACTAATTCTATATTTAGATTCTTTTCTAACCCTACATTTGTCACTCTTTTCGCATGATGTACTGATTTAATGGAAATCAACGAATATGATTTAAATTATGTTTCAATAATAATCTTTTAACTTATTTATTCTTTAATAATCTCTAATCCCAACCCCAAAAAATTGGTAAAGAGAAACTTATATATATTTTAGTCTATAAAATACTGATTTATAAACCCACTACTACGTGGTGGGTCGAATGGTCAAATTGAAGATGATAAAAATCATCGAGGACGAGTGTCTTGTTGAAAAGGATGTGTTCCCAATCTTCGTGACCGGTAACACAAAGGTTGATTCCGAGTGTAGAATGGAAATATAAAATCGAAGTTCAGAAACCATCCCAATTATACAAAAAACTGATTTATATCGCTCTACAATGTAAAAAGAAAAAAAGAAATTTCAATTCAAAAAAATAGTGAAATTAACCTTTTTTTTCGATTTTCTAGTCAGATATCTTTCCAAAATAAAATAGCATATATATTATCCCTATCATATACTGTTTTGCATATATACTCCAAAAACATCCGTGTCACTAACATAAAAGAATCTTTTATTAAATAACATCAACATCGTGAAAGTAAATTCCCCATTTATGACCCCTTTAACTATCAGCGGTTAAGGAAGCAGTTTCACCAAAAAAAAAAAAACCTTTATACATTAGTGGAGCCTAAAGTCCCCAAAGCTATTAGACACTAATCAAAACCCAATCTTTCGAATCAAAAGCTCTCTTTTCTCTTTTTCAAATTGTATTTAAATAAAACCCAGAAAAAAGAAATGGGAAATCTTTCATTCCCATTACTGTTACAATGCGTTTCTGTTTTGCTTCTCGTCCTCCTGCAGAATTTAGGGTTTGGATCGTCATCAGAAGCGTTGGAGATCAACAAGAAGAACGTAAACAGGACGCGGACGGCGGAGGAAAAGAATGGCGATGGATCGAGAACTTGTAACGTGTACGAAGGGAGATGGGTTTTGGACGAGGCGTATCCTCTGTACGATCCGACGTCTTGTCCGTTTATCCGCAAAGAGTTCGACTGTCGGAAATATGGCCGTCCTGATTCTCTCTATCTCCTGTATCGATGGCAACCTTCTCAATGCTTTTTACCACGGTATGTTTTTTTTTTTACCATCTTTTTTTTTTTGCGTGTTGTGTTGGTGCTTGAATTTGATTGGAGGTCTTGCCTTGAAATTATCTATCTATTGCCCGTGAGCACGTAAACGTAATATTTCCTTCTACCGTATTTCAAATATATGTTTATATTTGATTTTTGTGGTTTTTGAATTCCACATTTGGATGGATGAAATTTCTATTGTCATGAATATTAGACATTTAAGAAATTAATCTAACAAATGGTAGCTCTAGCTATGCGATCTAATAAAACATATTAATCCTTTTTTTTTTCGAAGTCTAATTCTAGGCATTTAAAGTTCTATAATATTCTTCGTAATTATTCCTTGCTCATTCCGATTTTCTATTACGGTCGGAGGTTAAAAATAAAATAAAGATAAATTAATAAACGCCTAAATGTTCGACAGTACGATCTGTAATTGCATTGACAAAAACATGCAATCAAATCCATGTTTTTGGTTGTAGGACTTTAGATTGGTTGTTGTGGTTGCTATTATTATGGTTAGTAAAATATTAATAAAGGGATGCAATTATGATTACGGTTGTTAATTATTATGATAATTATATTTGTGATGACTTTATAATCTTAGGTTAGTCCTTATATCATATGATTGGAATTTGCTTAGTTGTGGAGATGTTCCCGGAGATGCCGTGGGACAACAGGATGCACGTGAACATGTGTGTGTGTATATATATATAATACAACCAGACAAAATCATAGTGCCATTTCATCAGAAAATGTAAATAGACGCGCGCGTAGAATATTTTATAAATAAAAATTATGTCAATATTAAAATCAATATATTAAAAAATTGTGACATGAATTTAGATTTGCCGTGATTTTTTTAGTGACAGTCCATGAAAGTGTATTAAAGCCGAAAATATGATTGTATCAATTAATTGATTTGACTGATTTTGTGAAATTGTAATGAGAATTAATTCAATGATTTTAAGCTTAATGAATACAACATCTTAATTTCTACTTATAATTCTTTTTTTTTAAATTAGACTAAATCTTAGAGATTATGATTTGAGTAAAAATAATCACAATGGCATAGATTTGGGACTTGGAATATACAATCAAAGTTCTACACATTTTCGAAAAGATAAACCGATAAAAATAATCGGAAAATAAAACGTGAAAATTTCGTTGCAGAATAGGTGGAGAAGAATTTTTGAGGAGGATGAAGGGGAAGAAGATAATGTTCATAGGAGATTCAATAAGTCTAAACCATTGGCAATCTCTTTTGTGCTTATTGCATGCAGCTGCTCCTTCCTCAGAAATCATAAGGCAGAGCTCCATGAACAGCACCATCTCTTCTGTCATTTTCAAGGTAAATTATTTTTCTTCATTTCATTCTTTTTTGTACAAAAGAACCAAAAAAAACTTTTTTTATTTTTTGAAAATTAACGTCGGAACTCCAAAATATCTTTGCCAATTTATATTGGCCAAAACTACGAAGCAATTTATTTTAAATGATTAATTTTAATTAAGATTCGATTTATTATTATTATTGTTATAGTTAATCCTTCGTGTTAATGAACAAAAAATAGTCTTTATTTTAGAAACTACAATTAAAATTTTAAATTAAGAGTGTAAATATATTTTTTGTTTTCCATGTTATTTTGATAAATTCCAAACTTTATGTCATTAATTTGTTGCTCTCATAATTGTATAAATAAAATCATTACTTTAAAATTTTGTTTAGTTTTATTGGGTTTATTTAGGCCAATAAAAAATTGATGATATATCTAATTATTTTATTAAGAGTTTCTAAACTGTATGATAGAAAATATCTATGTAAAAGTTTTTTTAAACGATAGACAGGAACAACAACAATTAGTATCTTCTTTCCAATGTTGAAACTCGGGGTGGATATTACGATCTTTTTATCAAAACTTTCGGAGAATTTATATAACGTTAAAATATACACAATACTATAATAACATTTGGTATTTGATTTGGATTTCCTTATTGATTTTCAGTACTTTTTCTTTCAATCTCCATCCACCAGTCAAAGAGTAGGTTTCATGATTTTAATCTAGCGGTGTATCCTGCTTTTTTTTTATAGGACTATGACGTGACGGTGATGCTGTTCCACTCGGCGTATCTGGTCGATATCGAGCAAACGGAGAAGGGTCGGGTCATGAAATTGGACTCTCTCAAGAACGGCGACATTTGGAAAACCATGGACGTCTTGGTCTTCAATTCCTGGCTGTGGTGGTACCGCCGAGGACCAAAGCAACCGTAAGATCCCCTCGTTTTAATCGATATCAAACTTTCTGTTTTATAATCGGGTATTCTGAGTCGATACCTACACTAATCCCGCGGTTTAGAGCAAATCATGTGATTGAAATTATGCTATTCTCCCCGACTTGATGTTTGAACTCGAAACGGAACAAACGCTTTGCGTGCCTATTTCACCGGCTGCGCTACCCAACCGTGGGGAATTAGGGTTCCAAGTTATTGAGAACCAAAGAACCCATAATTCTCAATAGCTAGCGTAAGAAAAATAAACTTTGATTTTCATGGTTTATGAAATAAAAACAATGGTCATTAAATTACATTCATTAAACATATGTAACAGTTATATATTTGCATACAATTATGTGATTGTAGAGTGCGTATATATTTCCATTTCACCTAATTAAGAATGTGTTTTATTAATCCTTGTTGGGGTATAGGTGGGATTATTTACAATACAGAAGCAAGATCGTGAAGGATATGGATAGAATGTTTGCGTACAAAATGGCATTGAGGACTTGGACTCGATGGGTCAACTCCCAAGTCAACGCAACCTCCACCAAGATCTTCTTCCAAGGAATTTCTCCCTCCCATTACAAGTAAGCCCATCTTTTCGTATTCTTTCATGGAATTCATACAAAACAATTATTTCTCTCATATTACATACCAATTGTTTGATGGAAGTTTTATACAAATATATATAAAACTTCAATTTATTATCAGATTTTTATAATGTTTTCAAAATATAAATATTCCAACCACCGTTTAGGAGCGTTACTAGTGGTAATATTTTTGAAAATTCATTTATTTTATAGAAATGGGAAAAGAGTTAGTGTATGTATTTGTGAGTTTTTAACCACTTTACGAATTTTTTGTTGGGGTTTTTCCAACTATTACTGAACTGCTTAAAAAAATAGCCATAGATTTGTTTGGAACATAAGACACAGAGAATTGAAGACAATGCTAATTGAAATGTATATGGTTTGAACAGTGGATCGGAGTGGAACGAGCCGGGCGTCACAAACTGTCTAAGGGAGGAACAACCGGTGGATGGATCGACCTACCCAGGAGGCAAACCGATGGCTGCAACAGTGTTGAGATCGGCCTTAGCCCCGGTCCGGAACAAGGTGCAGTTATTGGACATAACATTGCTGTCACAGCTGAGAAAAGATGCACACCCAAGCCGTTACAATGGCTTCAAGAGCATGGACTGCACCCATTGGTGTGTCCCTGGTCTCCCTGATATTTGGAACCAGCTTCTCTTTGCTTCTCTCTTCTCTTGATTCATGACTATGGCTCCGTTGCTTCTGATTCATGAACATTTTTATATGGATGATCACTTTCTCTCATGACATAAATAGATTACACATTGCTGTGGTTTTTCTATTTGTTTTGATGGGAAAGAATAATGATAAATACAAGCTGATAATACCCTTTTAAAGATCGTTGTTTAATCGAAATAATATCCAAAATACCCTCTTTTTAATAAAATCACTTCTACTCATATTTTTCTCCAAATATAACCATATGACCAGAATGACGGTATGATTACATGGTGATCACAGTGGTTATAATGTTAAATTTATGGTGATTACATTAAATAATCATGGTGTATCTTAACTGTCACACTAATCACTTGGTAAAATCATCATAAATTTAACGCTATAATCAATGTGACCATCGTCTGACAATACTGCATATATATAGAAGATGGTATGTACGGAACTAGTTTTAACAAAAAAGAGGATATTTTGGATATTTCTTTTATTTTTTTAACCTTATTTAGTAGATATAAGCAAGTTATGTAAAGATTTGAATACTGTTAAACTCGGTATTTTTCATGGCCTTTGAACTTGGAAGTTGTTGTAATATTAAAAACAACATTTTTTAAGACAATATCGTATATTATACAATGAGTAAAGAATGATTTTACTGTTGGGTTTTTGCGTGTAAGTTAACTATAATGTAACTGCCAAGGCACATTAATTTCTTCACCTCTATAATAACTTGGAAATAAACTCCGTAAGGCTTGAATCAATCTTATGCGAGTAAAAATGAAATCTTTTCTAACTCTCACCGCCAACTTCACCGCTCTCATTGTTCTCATTATCTCACTCTATAGACCCGCGTTTTTCTCCGGCGAAATCTCCGGCGATGACACACCAAGACATAACATAACCCACCTCCACTTCTTCTTCCACGACATGGTCGCCGGCAAAAACCCCACCGTCGTCAAGATCGCGGGCCCCACCACCGCCTCAAACCCTTATGGCTTCGGGGCCACCATGATGGCGGACGACGCCTTGACGGAAGATCGAGACCGTTCATCCGGGGAGATCGGACGGGCGCAAGGGATTTATGCGGTGGCGGCCCAAAACGACGTCGCTTTGCTCATGGTGATGAATTTTGTCTTCACCTCGGGCGAGTACAAGGGAAGTAGCCTGAGCCTCTTGGGAAGGAACCACGTCATGGACGACGTCAGGGAGATGCCGGTGGTCGGAGGAAGCGGCGCGTTCAGACACGCGCGCGGTTACGCCTTGGCTCATACGGTTTGGTTTGATAATACCACAGGGGATGCTACCGTAGAATACAACGTTTATGTAACACAGTAGGAAAAATAAAATATATTATATGAATGATTTATCACTAGTTTTTTTGTGAGTTATAAAACTTGTACATTGATCATTAATTTCCAATTTGTTATTAAAATGTTTCCTTCATGATTTATTACGCGCGTGGTTACGCAATTATCTTGCATTTTTTTACCTTGTCTTTAACGGGTTAGAAAAATATTTCTAATGAAATTTGTCAAGAAAATCAAGAAAAATTGAACCCCCAATCTCTTTTATTTCTTGGAGGGTTTTCATATCATTTATATATCTCAAACCATCTACGTAGTCGCATCATTTTCGGTTCGATTCGGAACCAAATTGCAGAACCGAAATTAATGAGTTTTGGATTTATTTATATATTTATTGAGAGTTTCATTTTGGAAGAAAGAGCATGAGTGGAGTGTGGGCAACAACCAAAAGTCCCGGGTACATTGAAACTATTTTTTCCCTAAATTTTGGAATTTTTATTTGAAATAAATAATATTTTAGGAATTCAATCGAGGAAAATACTTCGTCTATCACAAGATACAAAAATATAAGTTCTTCTACTAAAATATACAAATTAATTTATGATAGTAATTTGTACTCTGGAATAATTGCTTTTTTTATTATCAATGATGTAACAGTTATTTTATTAAACTATATTCTAAAGAAGGCCGAGTACTATAAGGCATGGAAAAAAATTGGTATATTTAATTACGGTTAAAAAAAATAGTTGAGATATAAATTTTTTAAAATTTAATTAAAAAATAATACACGTTTTGTTCTCTTTTTTTGCCAATTTATCCTCAAATTTGCAGATTTGAACAAACGAATTCACTATACCCTAGAATTTGGTAGAAACCCAACATAGCTTGCGTCAAGACTTGGGGAACGAGATCATGAAAATCATCCAAGTTATACGATTTGGTTCTTTAAAACCGGTTAAAATCAAAATAAAATGGACAAGATATATATATATACATATATATATATATATTGTGTTATGAGTCCTGCAACAAGTGATCATCACAGCAACAGCACCACATGGATACAGTACCACTTTTAGAAACACGCTTGCTTGAGAAACAAGCAACGCATGCTCTTCTTGTAAGCTTTTGCGCACAAAAGCCGCTGACAACTCCTCAACTGTTCATTTCTTATCTGCCCAAACCAACAGAAGCAATCTCTGAGCAAATATCATATAAATAAATCTCCTCACCTTGTGCCAAACCCTCCAAGTGTGAAGTTCCAGAACCAAAAATGGCGTCCGTTTTCACTTCAAGAACTCTCCTCTTGCCCTTCTTCATCCTTTTCCCTGCTCTCTTTAGTGCCACTGACGGCGTCTTCTCTGAGCAGTTACCGGTAACCATAACAAGAAGACAGATGGAGAAGACGACCCGTCTTCACTTCTACTTCCATGACATCGTGGAGGGTAAATCCCCAACCGCCCTCCAGATCATTCGCCCGCATAATAAATCCATCAACGGGTTTGGACAAACTTTCGTAGCAGATGATCCTCTGACAGAAGGACCAGAACTGACTTCCAAGCTTGTGGGAAGAGCTCAGGGTCTATACTCCATGGCTTCTCAGCATGAACCTAGCCTGCTTATGATGATGAACTTCGCCTTTCTAGAGGGAATTTACAACGGAAGTGTTCTGAGCATTCTTGCTCGGAACACCATTTTCAACATCAGGGAAATGCCTGTTGTTGGGGGTACAGGGGTGTTTAGGTTTGCTCGTGGGTATGCCTTGGCTAAGACAGTTAAGATGGATCGGTCAGGGAATGCTGTCGTTGAATACAATGTGACTGTTGTACACTTCTAAGCCAAGATTTGAGTAATAAGCACAAGTGTTTTTTTCCTTTCTTACCGCAATGTCTAAACTATACCCGAAATACTAAGCAGCACTGGAAATCTACACAAAGCCATAGAAGGCAATGCCCGAAATACTAATCAGTCATTCCAAACTAACCGGAAAATGTTCTTACTAGCCGTTGCACTGACCACGTTGTTGCTCTGCTTCCTCAGCAATTCTTCTTGCGCCGAGACATCCCCTTCCTTTTGCGAAATACAAGAGAAGTCATAGTAAGAAACAATTTATCCCGACCTTAATGAGAACATATGTGCAATTGTTATGCTTATAGCGGTTGCAGTGTTTCAAGCAAAGACTTACAAGGCGAGAATAGGCAGAAGCAAGAGATAGAAGTGTCGGGTACATATCAAGAACAGCTACTGCAATGTCCTCAGTTACATGTGGAACCTGCACCGATAAGTTGTCAACCAAATATGATTCGCATAGCAGTTCACCTATTAGATGATAACCAGATATAGCATTAAAAAAAATCAACTCCTCGAATCAGCAAATAACAAGGGACCTTTGTCAAAAACCCAAACATACCCATTCATGGATATCAACAAAAACATAACAGCGAGGGTTGATACCTGCATAAGCTGAATGGCAAATACATCACTGATTGTCATTTTATCGAGATCCTGACAGCGTTCGATAAATTTATCAAAAGGAGGACATGGGACTGTGTCATTGTTCTGGTCGTCAATTATCCATGACTTGTAAAACTGGTATATTGCATGAGTAAGAAAACCATATTTCCTTAAAGTGTCACCAAGACCAGTAGTCCTCAGCACATCAAATCCCTCCAGAATCTCTGTCGTGAAACAACTACGCATAAATGAAAAACAAACCAATCAGAAAAGCGAAAAGGCAATAGCAATAAAAAGATACCCAAAAAAATGCTTACGCTGTCTTAATACTTTCTGCAGCATCGGAAGTGTTTGGATCCCCTTCAACAATGTAGATCAGCTTCTTGAGCCCCGACCTCTATTAGAATCCAATATCAGAAGAAAATTCAGAAAAAAACTAATCAATAAAGCACAATCCCATGAAACCTTTAAGCAGGAGGTCATGATAGTGGGTTGAAGTTGAAAACTGAGTCACCTAAACGAGAGGGTACATACCTGAAGTCGGAGTTTTTGATCCCTGTAACGATTGTCTCTTATTGATGAACGTAAATCATCAACTTTCTTCCTCTCAACAATGAAGTCCAAAACAAATTCAGTGCCAAGGTACTTATGCCGAGCTATCCAAATACCATCTCCAACTGGTAGGCGTCTAACCTGGCGATTAGAAAATACCATTCAGCATCCAAAACATGTAATTCATTTAAATGCAGACATATATATCTGAAGTAAGGTGAAAGTCATGCAAGCCTTTTGATAAGTAAATTGGAATTAGTTGGATACTTCGCATTCATCATGATTACTGTAAAACATATATAGGTTCATGTCTGTGTAGAAGAGGAATGTAAACCTGAATTTTGATCTTAAATTCGGAGCATATGTTGTCAATAATTCTCCTGGAGCGAGATCTGGGAATAAAAAGATACATTTTACCTTCACCAACCACAGCATAGCAAGCATATATGAACTCGATTCAGAAGAAAGGGGTATAAATGTTATGTTCATCACATACCCCATAGTGGCAAATTGTTCTCGGTCATCCAGTATTAGGGCCACTTCATATGCATCCTCAAAAACCTCCCCAAAATCCAGAGGAGGCACGCTTAAAATATTTGCAGTTCTTTTGGTTCCACCTGAAGCTGGCTTTGTGTGGAAACGACCATGAAACAGAAAAGAACAAAATTGAAACCAATTAGCAATCCAGTTAATGTCGTATCCATAATTTATGAAATTGATGCAAATCATAAAGAATAATCAAACATCTACTGAGCTCAGTGATCACATACAATGGATGAGCAGGATCTCAAGGCATGAACTGGACCAGATGAGCAAGGTCTAAGTGTGTATTGAGCATCGCAAGAATGCAGACGCATATTTTGAGTTCCATCAATATCAACTGCACCTGCAAAGTTATAACCTTTTTGTAAGATAAAACATTCGAGTCTTAGGAAAAAGACATATCATAAAGAGGACAGTTGACCATACGCTCACTAACAACAACTGGACAGGTTTGCGCCCCAGAGGAAATTCCCGAATCTTTTCTTTTATTTTTAGGTTCTGAATGTGAATTATAAACTTCCGTTTCACGAAGATGACACATTACAGATAGCCAGAGCGATGATGCATCTTCATCTGGGGAAGTGTATGAAACGTCTCTGAACGCAGCAATGACTTGTTCCTTGGAATAACCAATCCGGGTAAACTATACAAGGACAAAACGTAAATTCGACAACAAATACTTCAACAAAGAAAATAAAAAAGGAAAAGAACCAAAAAAACAGACGGTGTTCAGCAAGGAAAAGATAAAAGGTCTACAGGCCAGGACAAGCAATCCGGAAGTACCTTCTCAAGAGTTTCAATTGGGATATTTATTGGCTCCCTTGATCTTAGGTCAGCAAATGGCAGTTCTTCTGTTGGGGTACTAGAGGAGACAAAATTTTGATCAGATGTTCTGCTTGATTGCTGCACATGATCTGTTTCCTCGCAATCTGAGATCTCAAGGGAATCTGATAAACCAGATCGTGCGATGCATTCTTTTGCTACCTCCCGACCTTCCTCTGTCAGCATGTACCTGACAGATGTAACAGAACTTATACCAAGATTCTACGGAAACTACTCCTGCATGCTCAAATTGAAGGTTTTACACAAAACAAAAATGTTTGAAGAAGCACAAATAATAGAAAGTGAATTATAGGAATGAAATATTACTTTGCTGGGCAACTAGATTTCACCACCAACCCCTTCCCTATCAAAGTCTTCATGCAATTCCATCCAGTGTACCAGTCCCTTGGCGAGCTTCCAAACTGCCCTCTGTTCCCTTTTCCTTTCTCTGGCCTGGTCATGGAATTCAAGAACGAAACTGGTCAGCATTAATTGACATCAGAGCAACATCAGATGTATCATATTAGAATCTGAAACACAATTCATACGCGATGGGAACCCGTGAAAGCCCACTTGCTTCGGCCGCATCAATAAGCTCTTGTTTACGCATGAACTCCTGTCCTTTCACCGTCCCTCTGGCAAACAATAATAACTAGAATTTTAAAAGAGACTTTCAGAAGATGGATTTAGTGAGTGCCAGAAAGAAGATAAATTCTGTGGAACAATCGTCTAAATAACCTGTGCAATGCAATTAACATCGCATAGGCCACTGAATTCCTCTGTGGAATATATCGTTTCCTTGCCTTAGCATTTCCAACTGGAAAAAAAAAGCGCCACAAACAAAAATAACTAGATAATTCATATGAATGGATTTGATTTAGACGTCACTAAGATCGTACCAACACAATTCTCAGTCAGAACTTCTTGTTCAGAACTTCCAGCTCCAGTATCAAAATATCCTTGCAGGAGCTTTAGCATCCACTTGCCAACACCTCTATACAACAAATGCAAAACCAATCAGACAAAATTAGGAACAAATCTCTGGCTGGATAAAAACAAAACCAACCAAAACAAAAACCAGCTCCCTAAACCCCAACCCCCGAAAAAGACTTAAACAGGTATAAACAAACTCCGTTCCATGTTTTCCAGTACCAAGTCATAAACCAGATGCATTGGTAGAGAACATAGCTGAGTATGGTCTCCATTTCCAGTACTTCTTGTAATGAAATTCGCCATGAAACAATTGCATACCAATCACTCATATAAGACAACAACAAATTTGAACAGTACGCAGATACTTTTGATCAACGACAACACCCTCTCAAATCTCAATAAACCAAACTCAAACCTGATGACGAACCAGACTTCACAAGAACTCAATTTGCTAAATACATGCAAATAATTTGAAAAGGCCAAATAAACTACTAATTTAGCTAGTGAATCTAATTACCTTCTAGGCCACATAGTAATTCCTAGATCAACCGAGACTTTCTAGTCAGAAATATAAAAGGTTAAATTCAAATAAAGATGAACAAAGCACCTGGAACAAAAAAATCTGTAATTCATTGCTAAAACCCAACAAGAACAAAAGAACTTAGGCCCCATCCAACAATCCATGGAGAAACAAGTCGTCACATACTTGATCTGCGACAAGTCCTTGAGAGTCCTGATCGGATCCTTTGCATTGCAAACATTCCTATGCGCCCTGTAAATGATCGTTTCCTGATTTTCCGACAAACCCTTGGGCTTCTCGGCCAGCTCTCGCTTCGTCCGCAACATGAAATCCGCTAATCCTTGGTTCTCCAGGCAGAGCGCCCGTCTCTGATCATCCATCACTCAAGAGTTTGCCGATCAGGCGATCAAAATTCCTTGGTGGGTCACCGATATGCCTGCGGCAAAAGGGTTGAACACCGTTAGGTTTTTGTTCCAATGTCTGAAACACCCTCTCTTTCTCAAGAAAAAAGAAGAGAAAGAACACCAATCACTTCCCAACTGGTTCCAACCTCTAATTCTCGTATCACCGTCATAAGAGCAGACTCCCGGATTTTCCCGGCGACAACAGTAACCCAAGATTCAGCCCCAAATACCCAAAATTCCAGTCACCTAAAGGTCAAAAAATGATTAGAAGAGATTAGAGAGAATTAGGTTTCGAGGCTCTTGGTGCTGGTTCCGCTACTGTTCAGTAACCTCCCAAGCATGGCGGAAAAAGCTCAAAGAAAGAGCATCCATGGCGGAGAGTGGATAAGCGAATAAATGTAAGAGAAATGCAACTTACCGGCGACGGCGAGGGAGTACGGGGCGGAGAGGTGAAACGACAGCGGAAAAGGAGAAGGACGAGAGTGAGATTCAATGTTGCGGTTAGGGGGTTGTGTTGTGCTGATAATTTGAAAAATAATGTCCCGGTTAGCCCCCTTTTGTTCTCCAGTGGAAATTTTCAAACCATATAGCAATTTACAAAACTGGCGTTTAACTTTATTCTCGATCAATTAAACCCCCATAATGTTTTTAAACGGATGATAAAACCTTCAGAAAAATCTCAAAACTGATTCTATGACAAAGGATGATAAAAATATCGTTGACATATTGATTTAAATTAGTTAAAATAAATATAAAATGTGAAAAGCTAAAAGAAAATAAAATTTAACTCATACTTATATTTAAATCGAATAATACTTAAATTTAAATTGAAGAAATAGTCAAGGTAAAAATCAAATATATATAATTTTAAAAAACGAAAGATCCAAAACTTAAATATAAATAAATCAAAACTTGACCCAGATAATCTTTGTAATTTTATTTCGTGAGATGCGAAAAACATCTTAATATTTTTTTATGCATCAGCCATCTCAAATGTGATTTAAAATTTCTATTTATTCCATTATAGAAGAACAATATTATAAAAAAAAATAATGATTTAAGTAATTTAAATTTTGATACTTTCTGGCGAATCAAAAACTTCTGCATAAGCATCGTATTAGCAAACAGACCATCTTATATTCACGAGGGAATTCATCAGAAAATTTGAGTCCCATTCACATGAAAACATAGGTAAACGTGCCCACAATTCTAAACCCCAACGAACCCAAATGTGTAAACTTCTATATAAACCCTAAAACCCTCAAAGAGCTTCTCAACATTCTCAAACCCTAAAAAACAACAACAAGATCGCAGATAAAATGGCGAAAATTTTCAGAGTTTTCTTCGCGTTAGCTATCTTCGTGGTGGCCGGAACCCTAGTTTCGGCGCAGCAGCAATGTCGTGGAGACATTGCCGGTCTGATGAAAGAATGTGCGGTTTACGTGCAGCGGCCGGGCCGGAGAGTGGACCCTTCGGCAGCATGCTGCAGCGTCGTGAAGGCTGCCGACATTCCGTGTGCCTGCCGCCACATCACGGCCATTGTCGAGGAAGAGATCGATATGGATAAGGTCGTGCATGTCGCTGCCTTCTGCGGAAAACCTCTCGCGCACGGAACCAAGTGTGGAAGTAAAGTTCAAGTTTCAATTTGGTTTTCGGATACATGCATGCATTCACATACAATTACTAACAAGGTCGTTTTTGTTTCTTGTGCAACAGGTTACGTTGTCCCATGAAGAATGTCACACATGCACGGTACGGTTTAGACTTGGGCCTGTGTACGGAAGCCTTGTAGCTTTCATCTTGTACTAATTCGATCGTCTAGTGTAATGACTAAGATTTAATGAAATAATATATTTCCCGTATTCTGTTAAGGAATTAAATATTCTCGATAACAAGCTCGTTGACTTTTTTTTTTATTATAATATGGAGATCACCATCTCAAAAGTTGCCAACAAAGTTACAATACCTTGGAAACATGTCAGTATAATTAAATTATTCTATTTTTTTTTTCTATTTGTTAAAAATCATCCTACATACAAGCCGATATGATTTAATTAATAATGAATATAATTATTCTAGGTAATTCATGGCAAGTATTTTACGGACAGACATGTGATGCATAGGGATGAGCATGAGATGTATCGTATGCTAATTAGTCTCCTACATTGCCTCTATATGATCTCTTGTCTTTGAATTCATTAATTGTTTTTTCATCTCGAGTTTATTGTAGCCTTGAGAACCAAACGCCGTTGAATATTCTAATTTAGTTAAATATTTATGTAATGGGATGACAAATGAACATTTTTAAATTCTAGGTATATTTTTATTGAAGGAATATTAATTTGGGCCGATAACGATGTAATCTATTGGATTATTGGGCCTTGGCCACAGGCCCATGATCTAATGGTTGCTTAACGCTTGTTCACCGACTCTAGAAAATTCCTCTCCCCACAGTTAAAAATATCTTCGTACCTTATTAAAAAAATAAATGTATTTTTCCAGTAACAAAATAAAATTGGTAAATCCAATCATTAAGCACGTTATGACCGTTGGATCATCGTCCTTTTCTCTTAACCGTTGGATCGTCATCCACTTCAATACACGTGTCAGTGATAATTCACTGCCTTACCGGTTAACTGGATTTCTATATAAGGCATTCGTCTCTCTGCCGGACAGATATGAAGCAAATTTAGGTTTGGAAATCGCTTTATCCAAAACGCTCACTCGCTCTTGACTCAGTCTGACCCGACAATTTAGGGAAGATGGCGACCATGGTTGATCGGAGGATCTCGACGCTGAATCCTGACGCGCCGGCGTTCGATCCGGTGGCATTCCGTGAGGTGGAGGATTTCTCGCCGAAGTGGTGGGAGCTCGTGAGGACGTCGAAGTGGTTTCGTGATTTTTGGCTGAGTTTGAACTCGGAGGATGAGTTCGAAGATGGTGGAGAGTTTTCCGATGTGGAGGAGCTGATCATGTTGACCGAAGTGGAGGAGACGGACAGATCAGCTGGTGAGGTAATGAACGGTAAGAACGAGTTGATATGATTATATTCCTCTGCAATGGAACTCTGTTTGTTGCTTTGTCACGGATGATGTGGTTCAACTGCGCAGAAATCTATGGATTCTCTGCTTGATCTTCGATATTGAGTTGCAAGAGAAGTAAACATAGCTTTTTTTTGCAGATCAGATCAAAGGATCAATCTTTTGTTTTTGGGACACTAGTTCTATGATGAGGCAATAGGGTTCAAATCGTCGTGTCAAATATTGCGATTTGTGTTCTGATTTCTTGTATCTGACCATTATGCTTCCTATGATCGAAACCCAGACCTGGTAAAAGATGTGAAGACTTTGCTAAGAGTGCCGGAAACGTGCGAGTCTCCAGGAGGGAAGATTGACAGAACGACAGTGTCTTGCCCCAGGCATTTTTACCACACAAAGCCGACAAAGTATGCGAATCCCAACTCCATTTGCCGACGTAACCATCACATCTATCAGCCGCGTTGAAGAAGAGAAGCCGGAGATTGGGTTTAAGGGGCGGTGTCATGTTTCTGCTTTGACGTGTTTGCGTTTTAGTTCATCTGACTGGTTCTCTGTTGTCTTTTAGCCTCTTTCCAAGAACCTGTTAGTTGTGTCTCCTGTAAATATTGTCTAGTTCGGGGTTTTAACCGCTGTAAGGATATGTCCTGACATGAAATGGCCCATTTGAAACGCTCCGTGTTTGTAGTCAGATGTTGGATGTATCGATATCTGGTTTCTGTTTTCGCTTTGACATCGAAATTTCTCATAAGTTGAATCTGAGTTGTGAGGAACATAAACATACGTAGAGAAGAAATTAGATTCATTTCAACAGACAGACAGTGGCTTCGTCTGCACAAATGTTTGACACAGCCCTTTAGACACGCAAACGCAACCGCAGTGAAATGGCCAATCGCAAACGCAAATAGTACCTGCCCCTTCTGTCTGCGTTTCAAACGCAGTGTTTCTGCAACAGTTTGGTCTAAAACCTAAAACTAGTTCATTCCATTTCAAAACACGAACAATCAGTACAAAGTACCGAGTTCAGTATTCTAAAATCCTATAAACAACTCGTCCAGTATCATGTTAAGACAAAATCATGGAACGCAAAACTTCCCCGTCGTGAGCAAAGTAAAATCCAAAAACTATGTCATAAATATTTTGCCCCCTATGCATATACTCCCTCCATCTGCAAGTCACTCACCGAGGTAATGAATCATTACCAAACAAAACTCAGACCGACAACATCTCATTCAGGGAGAGAGACAGCGTTTTTTCTGTATAAGAGGAACTTCCCGACCATTACCAGACAAAAAGATAGCCACAGGCGAGATGTCAGGTGTCTCCCTCGGGTGGAATCTGCTGTGGTTAATGTTGGTTTTCAATCTCTACACTTGCTTGTAGAAGAGGACGTAAGCTTGGTCGTGCAACACTTGTTTCGTCCCTATGGCTGTAACAGAGGCATCATCAAACCTTAGCCATTGGCCATTCTGCCGCCTCGCATCTGCAGTGTAGTGCCCTTTTGACGGATCCCTCCCATGGTGGGTTATGGTGGCGACAAGTTCGTATTTTAGACCCTACAAGGAGACAAATACACACATGGAAAGATCCGTATTAGCTTTGCTTGGATGAAATCATGAAACTATACGGCGAAGGAGTCTTTAAACCATTTTACTTTTCCTTTTGTACCTCGTTAGAAGGAGAAACAAGCAGGTAGCGGCCTAAGTAGAGTTCAAGAGGAAAGTGAACGGGCTTGTGCAGCTTTGTGCTCCCTTGGCTCCCATAACTAAAACGCATTAGGTGGAGTATCATTATCTTTGATAGCTTCTGTATCTTTATCGATTTCCTAGCACTCACAACACCAGCCTGAAACAAAATAAAACAAGTATAAGCCAGATGATCAAAGCAAATAAGCAACCTTTCAAAAGAATTCCACTCCTATATCCCCGGTTTCAGAGAGAGAGAGAGAGAGAGAGAGAGAGACTACCTTCCCAGTTACCGGGGCACGATACCCCTCCAGATCTTCTGGAGCAGAAAACAAACGCAATGCATCGTCTATTGTACAAACTGCTTCAGGATGTATATCAAGGTGAAGTAAGAGGTATGTCTGTACGGTAGCAGAATCTTTGTTTCCTGTTCCACAAAGTAAATATTAAAAGCCTGACAACATAAAAATCAACAGCTTGATCTTTAATGTGACTTCCTAAACTAATGACACCTTGCATATAATCCGAATACCTTTTGCTTTCACCACACTTCTTAGCTGCCCTCCAAATATCTCACTGAGCTCAGAAGGAACAAAACTTTGAGTTCTTGTCACAGCTGGCCTGTTTTTTGGTCCAACAATTTCCCATTCATCGCCGTCGTCATTGTTGGTAGAAGAAACTATTGATGAGTTGGCACCAGTAATGTTAGCAGGCTGTCCCCTGAACTTCAGCAACTCATCATGCATTTGGTCAATTATAAAACTCAAAAACTCCTGAGCATCTTCCTGCCTGCAATTACGAGTGAGCAAACACATTAAACTATCAGAACAATTTATAACAAGACGATATATATATTTCAAGCTGTAGAGAGGTCACGAACCTTGGCCTGCCGGACATGTTGTTGGGCACATCTGGGGTAAACTTTCTAAGCACTCCCTCAAACATGAGAGGTGTAAACGGTCTACCAGCTTCAACCACAGCTGCATTATTTCTTGTGCTTGTACCACTAGGTGCTTCTAGTTCAGAGATGAACTCGGAAAATGCAGCTAATGTTGGACACCCAGACTGAGAAGACAGAAGAAGAATGACCAGGTTTAGTAAAAACCAGAACCACTAACAAAAAAAACTCAAACCGTCAGAACAGCAGGAAAAGGAGTTTGGAGTGGATATGATAAATAACAACAATAGATGAAATGGAACAACCAAGGCAACCTTTGGAATATCTTGAAGTTGAAGTTCCTGCAGGAGCTGAACAAAAGGAGAACATGAGAGCAGAGCCTGCAGAGTTGCATTGAGAAAGCACAAATTTCCCGCATTTATTAAGCCTCTTGGTATGAAGTATTTAACTGCAGTAACAGACTCCGCAGGACCCATAAGCTTGTTATTTCGTGCCATGTTCCAAGATGAAGAATCATCAGCCGCCGAATCTTCGCTGTCCAGAACATGGAATTTCAAGCTCAAAGCTTTATACAAAGAATCGCTTTCAACGTCTGAATCTGATACAGACAACTCGTCAAAATCAATAGAATCTTGCTTCAGCGACACGCCGTTGTTCTGGGAGGACTCTTTTACAGTTCCATTTTCTTTCATATGCTCAGGTACTCCTGAAGAGCAATCGCTAGACACTTTTGTATCATTATCGCCGCGAGAGAGAACTGTCCCATCAACCAGGCCCTTATTCAATTCACCATTAGTACTTATTGAAGATTTCCCAGAATTGAGATTCAAGGATCCGAATTGTATGCTCTTCACATGTTTCTCTCCGCGATTTGGAGCAGCCTTGACGGGTTTCTGCCCGAGTAATGACTTGGTTTCGTCTTCAGTGAAGGATCCAAACAAAAACAGCTGCGAAGAGCAGAACAAGGACGAGGATGGTTAGTGATCCAATATCACAAACGAGGCAACTGGTATTCAACTTAATGGTTTATGTAATGAAAAAGACTTGCAATCCATTGGATCATGAAATTAACGTGTTGAATCAATAACAAAGATGTTGATAATCTCTTACAATACAGTATATAATTAAGAGGAAAATTACAGTTTAATCAAGCGTAAATTCAAGCATTAGCTAGGCATGATAAACCTAAACCTATCAACAACTACTTATGGCTCTTAGATCTTGTAGACAATAGAACAGACGCCAAATTTCTCGAACAGGAACAGGAACATCAACAACAATGGAGATACATAGTTCTGAACTTCGATGCAACTCTGCATCATGTTTGGAATCATCACTCCAGAACATAAAACACCAAACTACAACCATAAAGCATCAAACAGTGCAATGGACAAGACCACAAAATCAAATCCTAAACATCGGAGAAACGAATACAAGGGACAAAAACCGAAACTGAAAAAAAAAGTCCAAATTACCTTCTTTTCACTCATGTTTCGCACAGGAAACCCAAAACCTCGTTACCTGAATCGGAGACGAAACAAGAGTGGCGCGAGAAAATTCAAAGAGGCAATCGAAAACTAGGGTTTGAGAGACCAACAACCCTGGAGGATAGTCGGGGACTGGAGAAGACATGAAAGGAAAAGAGGAGAAAGACAGAGAGAGCATTTATTAAGGGAACCCTCTCCTTGATTCTTCTCTGCAACTTCGCAATGGCGAAGCATCCGTATTGGAGCAGAAGGAGAGAGACGACAACCTTTTTCGTTTGAAACAAAAATAGGGTTGTGTTTTTTTTCCCCCAATTTGTTTTAGATTTTGCCGTGTCCGGTTTAGTGGTAATTAATTATATTTAAATCGTATTCGACTTAAAAAAAATACGAAATAAATCGAATCCTAAAATATAGAAAAACTATATCTTAATCTATAATTTTTTTAAATAATTTTTCTATTCGAAAAACAAACCTTTTTATCAATAAAACCAAATTTATTATAACATTCAAATAGAAATCGGAAATGGCTATTCCCGTTATTGAAGTAGAAGACAGGAGGTATATATATATATTTATTTAATGAGATAATTATTACGGTTTTATTGTTTATTAAATTTGATCATATCATTTAACTTAGTTTAGTTTATTGTTGAATTTATTAATTTAATTATTTAATAATCATATATAGTTAAAAGTAAAGTCTTAATATATATTTTTTACACCAAAGTTTATAAAAATGTAAGAACTAATTTTATAAATAATAAGTCGCAGAAGGTCACTTCGACGTAGGTATGACCCATTTACAAATAGTGATGGGCTCGACGGCCCATTTCATCTCGTTGTTGGGTCCGCCCATTCATATAAGTAGAACCATTTCTCACCATCTCCATAACAATCATGAAATATATCAAAACTCAATTATTCTACGGTTGAAATTTTAGAGTTTTTAAAATCCAAATAACAAAAATATTACTAATCATTTTTTATAAAATTATTTTTTCTAAAAATTTGAAAAGCCATTTTAGTAAAAAAAAAACAAATCAATGAAAATCCAAAAACTGCGTTTTTTGGTTTTATAAATATTATAGATAAAAATCAAATCCAAAAACTCAAAAGAAAAACCATCCCCATTCAAAGTTTAAGGTGTTGAATGATGAAGTTTTTATTTCGGATTTTTTTATTTAGTTTTTGGATTTGAGTTTTTGTTTTTGATTTTTGGCTATTGGATTTAATAGGTTTGTAAATCTAAAAAAAATATAACTTTTGGTATTTAGTTGATTTTTTTTCATAAAATAGATTTTTGGATTTTTAGAAAAATCAAATAAAAAGAAACTTGATTGAAAGTTTTTTTTTTCGGTTGTTGAAATTTATAAACTCCAATAACTCTTCCCATCCATCAACTAAGTTTTCCACTTAAGCTTAGGTAAAAAAAAAAAACTTATATTCTAAAATCTTGCCCGGGCAATAGGTGAGAGTTTTTCCTAAAGAAAAACAACTCCATTTTGCGGATCGTTTGAAACCCTAAATTTTGGGTAGCTAGTTTATCCCAAAAAAAACCATATATAATGGGCCATATTTTCAAATTAATATAAAGGGAATAATTGGAAAGAAGAAGATTGAGATGATAAAAATACAATTAAAAGATGAAATATAAGCTAAAAGAATAAAAGAAGTATAAACCCTATATATACTAATATCTCATCGCATATCCTCCTCGACCTACAATTTTCAATCTAGAATTTAGAAACCGTATCACATCTTGGCGAGAATTCAAAGGAAAATATGTTTTTTTAATGTGGAAGTGAATTTGTAGAATTAGATTTGTTTGAATTTGGAGAAAATGCAACGCCTCTTGCAGCTCGTAACAAAGACCGATGCAGCAGTGGTTAGTTACGAATCTTCGTTTTTGCTTAAGAAAGCGGAATTGAGACATTCTATTTTATATTCCAAGGCGTTTCTTTAGCATCGATTCTTAGAAAAGTGGCATGCAATTGTCTCTACTCGTAAAATGGAATTACTTTACATATATGATAAGAATAAAGGCTTTGCGCGTACCAAAAAAAAGAAAAGAATAAAGGGAAAAGCTGTTATTTGTATATGCAATTATATTAATGAAAGAAAAAAAATGAGACATTGTAATGTATTTATCAGACAAACATTAGTTTATAAGACAATAATAAAAATGAAAATTTTCCAGAGAAATAGGAAGCATTCAACTAAATTAAAAAAAAATATATATATATATTTTTTAATAATTTAAGAATATTCCTTTCTTGAGAGAAAAACAAATGAAATGAGAGATGGCATTTCTTTACTTGAACGTGTTTTGTCGGGCGAATGACATGCAAGTCATCTCTTCTAAGATGATTTTTTTTTTGTCGGTGAAAATTGCAATCTATAAGAAGAGAGACATGGCGGCGATCGACGATGTGATTGTAACAGTACAACCAACCATCTTCCTCATTTCGTTTCAACCAAATAACCGAATCCCACGTACGTACATTCTTCCCTGTCATGGAACAAGTAACGCTCCTCACTCACGTACATCCCCTCCACCGTTCACGCTGGCCTTCTAACTGTTGGAGTTAATCTTGTCTGGAAAAAAAGAGGGAAGAGACCCGTTCAAAAGTAAGGTCGTGTTTCGGATCGTGTTTCGGATTTTCAGTTGGGAGTGGCTACGAGTTTGAGAAATCTTGGTCAAAGAGTAAATCTCGGACACGTGGAGCTTGTTACGCTTTGTTGTTATTTGATTTGTTTCATGATGCTCCTTTTTCTATTTAAAGTTGCGATATGGAATAATAATAATACATCAAGTTTTATGGAAAGTACGTAAATGTCAATCGACCTTTATCTTTGTTTTTTTGTTTGAAAATCAAAACATCGTTTCAGATTTGCGTTTCTACATTTGGTATCAGAACCCGGTCGGTAGGACCTGTACTTGGTCGGGAGGACCTATATTTGGTCGGGAAGACCTGTTTGGTCGGGAGGACCCATATCTGGTCGGGAGGACCTGTGTCTAGTCGGGAAGACTTGTATGAGTAACTATGTCACTCATCACGCAAGGAGTAAAGGAAAACGGCAGAGTGTCGTTGCAATGCCCCATGTTGACGTTGTCCAATTATACGACATGGGCGATCAAGATGGAGACGATCATGGATGCCCAGGGGATCTGGGACGCAGTTGAACCTGCGACCGGAGTGGTCGTAGACGAGAAAAAGAATAAGATAGCTCGAGCGTTCATCTTTCAAACGATACCGGAAGATGTTCTTATGCAGATAGCAAAGAAGAAATCCGCTAGTGAGATTTGGGAATCCCTGAAGACCCGGTACGTGGGGGTTGATCGTGTGCAGAAGGCACGTTTGCGAACCTTGAAAGTGAATTCGACGCTTTGCGTATGAATGAAGGTGAGACGATTGATGAATTTGCCGGGAAATTGAGCAGTATGGTCACCAAATACAGCGATCTTGGTGCTACTCTCGAGGATGGCGCACTCGTTAGGAAACTTCTTGATTCGGTGCCAAATAAGTTTTTTCAATTAGTTGCATCTATAGAACAATATTCAGATATTGATAACATGCCGTTCGAGGAAGCGATCGGGAGAATGAAAGTATTTGAGGACCGGATCATTCGGATGCGCAATATGGGTGATAACTCCGATGGACAACTTTTGCTCACTTATGCAGAGTGGCAAACTCGACAGAAGCGTGGAAGAGGTCGTGGACGCGGAAGAGGTGAACGTGATAAAGGACACATACAGTGTTTTACTTGTCAAAAGTATGGACATTACGCTTCAAAATGTCCTAGATCGAAAAACGACGAAGAAATCCATCTCGCGGAAGAAGTCTACGAAGAACCGACGATACTGTGACAAGGATCGAAAGACAAGATTAAGTGGGAGATTGTTGGAGTTAATCTTGTCTGGAAAAAAAGAGGGAAGAGACCCGTTCAAAAGTAAGGTCGTGTTTCGGATCGATCGTGTTTCGGATTTTCAGTTGGGAGTGGCTACGAGTTTGAGAAATCTTGGTCAAAGAGTAAATCTCGGACACGTGGAGCTTGTTACGCTTTGTTGTTATTTGATTTGTTTCATGATGTTCCTTTTTCTATTTAAAGTTGCGATATGGAATAATAATAATACAGCAAGTTTTATGGAAAATACGTAAATGTCAATCGACCTTTATCTTTGTTTTTTTGTTTGAAAATCAAAACATCGTTTCAGATTTGCGTTTCTACACTAACGAGTGGTCTTTGTGCCGAAAAGAAGGTAGGATATGTGATGGTTATCGTTGCTCAGAGTGTGCCTATTTCACGGCGCACAAGGAATGTGCGGAATCCCCACCAGAGATCGAATCCCCTTCTCACCCTAAACACCCTCTCAAACTCCTTAGGTCCGAGGACTACTTTTTCAAGCCGTGTGATTGTTGCAGAGAATATACTTCAGAAGTGGCATACCATTGTTCGGTTTGTGACTTTTGGGCGGACGTATATTGTGCGAGATGCCCTCAGCCGCGTAATATGGAACACCCCAAGGCCCATGGTCACCCCCTCACCTACATCAAGACAGAAACGGGCTTCACCTGTCATGTTTGCGATCAAGATTCCTATGGATATCATTATGAATGCAAACGATGCAATTTTTACTTCCATAGGGAATGCGCCGATCTCTCGCCAGAGATATCCCACCCTGCTCACCCTCCTCACCCTCTCAAACTCTTCAAGGATTACCATAATCCCCACTCAGGTAAGCTTTGTTGCGTCTGCCAATATGAGTTCTCGGACCTACTCGTTTATTGTTGTCTTTTATGCAAATTCAACATTCACGTTGAGTGCGTATTGAACCCACCAACGCTTTCGTTTTTAAGCCTTACCACCCATGAACACATCCTAACCCTCTTGCCCATAAAAATCTCCTTCACTTGCAATGCTTGTGGGATGGATGGTTATTGGAGCCCTTATGCCTGCCTTCAATGCTATTTCGTGATTCATATTCAGTGCATTGACTTACCCCGTATCATAAACATCAACCGCCACGATCACCGCATTTCTCGCATGTATTGTCTTGATCCGGAGGATCCCGACCCTGTGTGTGGAGTGTGTCGTAGACCAATTGATAGGAGGTATGGAGCTTACTCTTGCCATAGTTGCCCTCAATATGCCGTTCATTCAAGATGCGCAACATTGGAAAATGTGTGGGATGGGAATGAGCTCTATTGGAAACCTGAAGAAGTTGAGGATGTTGAGCCATTCAAGGTGATAGCTCACAATGTGATAGAGCATTTTAGTCACAAACAACACCATCTGAGGTTTATGGAGGATGGCTATGGCTGCGAGGCGAGCATACGTTGCAAAGCATGCATACGTCCTATCAACTCAAGTTCGTTATACAGTTGTATGAAATGTGATTTCTTTCTTCATGAAAGGTGTGCTAATCTTCCCCTGAAGAAACGGCATATGGTGTTTGGGCAGCAACTTTTTTTACACGCCAATCCAGCGCCTTATCTTTGGTCGTGGTGCTACGTATGTGAGCAATTCTCTGATGGTTTTAAGTACATTACTAGCGATAATGGATTCACAATAGATGCACAATGCAGCTCAATCCGTGAACCATTTGATATTGAATGCCATCATCATCCCTTATACTACACTTCGAGCGAGACCGGACGTTGTAAAGCATGTGCCAAATTGAAGATGTATGTGCTCAGGTGTGTAGAAGATGGTTGTGAATATGCTTTGTGCTTCGGATGTGTTGGTTTGCCATCAACGGTAAAGCACGACTGCGACGATCATCCCCTCGTCCTATGCTACGGGGAAAAGCAAGAAAGGGGAAAATATTGGTGCGACATTTGCGAGGAAAAAACTGACCCTAACTTATGGTTCTACATATGCAACCACTGTGGCCTCACGTTGCATGTCGGCTGTGTTCTTGGAGAAGATTTGGCATATTTCGAGCCAGGAAGCTTGATCCCACGCCCTCTAAATAGCGGCGGCGAGGAGGCATACGAAGTTGTTGCCAACAAAGGAAGTCAACGACCACTTTGTTACAACTGCAGCAGACGTTGCATGTCCTCCGTCGCTCTAAAGAAGCGTGATGGCACTGGTCGATATCTCTGTTCATACAAGTGTTACAGTGTTTTCGGCTGACATTTTACTTTCCAATATTCGTAACTTTGTTATTTTTATTCGTATCTGTAATTAATTACACTTTCGTCTTGTATTAATTTCAAACTTATCAGTTGGTCCTGTCTATTACAAATATGGGAATTGAAAAAAAATTTCTCTCTCTAAATCTGAAAACTACATTGAATAGTAAAAATGCTTTTTATTTGGGACAGCTCTTTGGATACTTCGTTTAATGTTCTTATGAAAGAATTATTGATGATTACAGCCCTTATGTAAGAATTAAGAAATAGTTAATCACGTGTTGTGAGAATTCACATGTAGGGTTGCATCGTCAATTACGGTCGACGAGAGATTGTGAAAAGTAGAAGTTTTCCTCGAATGCAAATACTTACGGAAATAATTTGGGTCCAAAACATTTTGAGGAAACAAGCCTTAATTATGCGCCAAAATAGATTTTTTTTTTTAAATCTTTACATTATATATTTTCTCAGGATAAAAAGTCTAAGGTAACCTTAGTATTAAAGAAATTGTCTAAAATACCTATCAATGCCTACTTTACGCACAATATTCTAGTAACTTTTTTCACACTAAATAAAAATTTGGAAGGAACTTATAAAGAAAAGATAAGGATTTCCAATTAATCCAAAGTTTCATAGTTACATGGAGAAAATAGATTTAAGACAATATCATATGATAATAGCGATTAATTACTACGTACATTCAATTGAGCAGAGGTATCGATCTGTGCCTTCACACGTCTTTATAATGTTGGAGGACATGCAACGTCTCTTGCACTTACAGCAAAGTGGCCGATTGACGCTATCATTGGCAACCACTTCATATTTGCTATCCGCGTCGTGATAATAACGAAATGTTATTCCTGGCTCGACATTTGCAAAGTCCCCAAGAACGCATTTGACATGCAACGTGAGTCCACAGTCGTCGCATGTGTAGAACCACTTGCTAGGGTTTGTTTTCTTTTCGCAAACATCGCACCAATATTTTCCTTTTTCTTCTTTTTCCCCATAGCGTAGGACGAGGGTATGGTCATCCACCTTGTGCTTTACCCTTCTTGGCAAACCAGCACACCTATAGCACAAAGCGTATGATCCACAATCCTCTTCTACACATCTCAATACAAATATTTTCATTTCGCCACAAGCCATGCATTTCCCCATCCTATCTGAAATGTAGTACAAGGGATGAGGATGACATTCATCGTCAAATGGCTCGCGGATCGAACTGCATGGTACGTCCATTCTGAATGCAGCAACAATGTTCTCCGTATCGCTAATGTACTTAAAACCATCAGAGAATCGGTCACATACGTGACAAAACCAAATACCGTGGTGAGATCCAGCGTTAGGGAGTAAAGTAAATTCTTCTGAAAATACCTCGTGTCGTTTCTTGATGGGAAGATTAGCACATTTTCCGTGAAGAATGAAATCACGTTGCATACAGTTGTAGAACGGATCTGAGTAGATAGGACGTATACATGCTTTGCAGCACATGCTCGACTCACAGTCAATGCCACCTTTTGTTAGCCTCAAATGGTGTTTTTTATGACTAAAATGCTCTATCACATTGTGAGCTATCACCTTAAACGGCTCGATATCCTCAACTTCTTCAGGTTTTCCGTAGAGTTCCTTGCCATCCCACACATTTTCCAAAGTTGCGCATCTTGAATGGACGGCGTACTGAGAGCATCTAGAGCAAGAATAAGCGTCATACCTCCTATCAATTGTTTTACGACACACTCCACAGACAGAGTCATGATTCTCCGCAGGAAGACTATAAGTGCGAGAAACCCGGTGATCATGATGGTTGATATTTATGAGACGGGGTAAGTCAACGCATCGTATATGGATCACGAAACAACACTGAAGGCATACATAAGGGCTCCAATCGCCATCCATCCCGCAAGCGTTGCACGTGAAGGAGATGCGTATAGGCAGGAGGGTTAGGACGTGATCATGGGTTGTGAGGCTTGAAAAAGAAAGAGGTGGTGGGCTCTTTGCGCACTCGACATGGACTATGAATTTGCATAGAGAGCAGATATAACAACGTCTAGAGTGGAATACATCTTGGCAAAGGCAACACTTCACACTTGTATGGTCAAGTACCCCATCATCCTTGAGAAGTTTTAGAGGATGAGCACGGTGAGCAGAGTGGGTTATCTGCGGGCAGAGATCGGCGCATTCCCTGTGGAAGTCTAAACCACATCGTTTGCATTCATAACGATTTCCATAAGAATACGAATCACAAACATGACAGGTGAAGGTCATGTCTTTCTTCATGTAGGTGAGGGGGTGGTCATAATGGGCTTTTGGGTTTTCCATATCATGCGGTGGAGGGAGTCTCGCACAATAGATGTCCAGCCAAAAGTCACACACCGAACAATGGTAAACCATTCCTGAAAGAAGCTGTACTCCACAACAATCACAATCATGTGACTGGAAAGAGTATTCCTTAGACACGAGGAGCTTGAGAGGGTGTTGGGGATGAGAAGGTGAGTCAATCTCTGGAGGGGATTCCGCACATTCCTTGTGCGCTGTGAAGTCTCTACACTCTGAACAACGGTAACCATCATAGATCCAACCTTCTTTCCGGCACATGGAACATTGACGAGACGGCCGACATGAACGGTGGAGAGGATGTCTGTGACTCACGAATAGCTTTGCTTGTTCCATGATGGAGAAAAATGGATGTGGGATTTGGTTATTCGGTGTACGAAATGAAATAATAACACTGTTTTGCTGCTACGTACTCAGACATTATATTCTATACTTGTCACGAACAAACACCTTTCGAAAAGATTACTTGCGTTTCACTCCTACTATGTTCGAAACTGACAAACACGTTCCGTTAGAGAATATAATGTCTCCTCTCTTTTTTTTTCCTACGAAAATATACATGTATACAAATAGTGGCGGACCTAGAGAAATGTATCATTGGGGTTATATTTCTATTTTATTATAAGCAATTTTAATTTTATGGGGTATTCTATAGTTTTGTTCAAAATTTTACATAATTTCTATAAAAAAAAATAAACTTTTTTTTATTGATTTAACGGGGATATGTGCCCCCAATATAGTTGTATGTAGATCCGTCGCTTTATACAAAGAGACGAGACACACCGCCATGTGATATTTTTGTGGTCTTTATATATTCGTTTAATATTTGATTTATTTACCATCGCTGAGTAAAAAAGTTCTATCTTTTTTTTTTAAGGATATGTAATTTCACTCCTTTGAGTCTAGTTGAATGCTTCATATTTTCCCAGTGAAAAATTTAATTTATTGTTTTCTTAAATTACACATATACATATTACAGTGTCACGTTTCATTTTGCTTGAAGCAAAGAATTGACATAATCTATATATAAGTTGCATTTTCCTTTATGATCTCTAATTGCATTCCACTTTTCTAAGATTCGATACTACAAAAACATCTTTAAATAGATAGTAGAATGTCTGATCAGTTCAATTTCCTTAAGCAAAGCAAATATTCGACACCACCGCATTTTATATCTGTGGTTTTTCTAACATCTGCAAACTAATTTAATAAAATAGCATTCGAAATCATATATTTGATTAGGAATAGTTTACTAAATACGTTTCCTTTAAATTATTACGAGTATGTTTTTATAATTTTGTTTATATTATAAAAAATTTTTGTTTTATTTTGTAAAAAATGTACAAAATTTAAGAAAAATAATGCAATTAGATTTTTCAATATCGGGTATATATTTTTTTTATATAATTTAAGGAATATTCATATGTGAATATTGATGATTACAACTCTAACAAGTATTTTTTTTAATCCTACAAAACTCATATGTAAGATTTAAGAAACAAGTAGTCACTTGTTTGTTGATAGGTTAATGGGTTAAACCAAACTATGCATTTTTTCTATTAAAAAAAACCCAAACTAGGCCTCAAATAAAGATTAATAGGTTTAGTTTTTAAAATTGGGCATTGATTATTAAGCTTGTAGACTGAATTGGATCGAACCAAAACCCACAATATTCGATTCTTATTTGGTATATTTTTATATAACCATGTAGAAATATTGAATCAAAATCTGAATTATCTACCGATATATGTATAAATATTATATTTCAATTCCTATTTGATATTCATTATAACAAAACCGTGAACTGAACCATTTAATATTCAGTTTTGGTTTGGTACAATTTTTATAAAATTGGAAAAAAACCGTTTTCGAAATGAACCATTTGAATAACGAATCGAAAACCGAAATACCCATTCTAGATTTGGGGATGCAATTTTCGGTCACAGCAGAGGCTAGGCTAGGTCAACAAGATATAGTGAATTGGCAGCATATGATACGACAAGATTAATCGTATGGCTATTTATAAAATCACAATGCTAAAAACGTTAAGGTTGGTCAATACATGTATTACAGCAGAAAATGGTCGATCGGTAGGGAATTGGTTGAATTCGCAATTTTGTTCGCCTCCACGCATAAATCTTTCATCCATACCCAAGTTTGGGTGGTCTAGTGATGAGATAACATGCAATGCAAAGTATACTTTCATCATGGGTTCAAACCCAAACGTGGGAGGGGCATTCACCTGGACTTCCCCGATCTTCTGGAAGATGTAGTTGGACCAAAGATCCGGTGAACTTCCGAATTATAAAAAAAAAAAACTTTCATCCATAAATTAAGAACATGCCCTTTTGTCCTGAGAGGTTATATAAATTAATATTTATTTAATTGCGATATATTTGGCGTAGATACGCAATAAAATTAATACGTGGCAAGGACATGAATCGTGAAATGCTTTTGGCACAAAACCGATCCATTGCAAGTTGGCTTCACATTGTAACAGCTTGGCATGCAATAACGTCTCAGATTTCATTCAGACATGCATGTGCTCTTCACCTTCTTCTCTGCACACAACTTATATATATATATATATATATA